AGCTCTTGGATAGAAACTGTTTTTCAGTCTATTTGTCTTTGACTTGATGTTTCTATATCTCCTGCCAGAAGGCAGTAGTGCAAACAGACTGTGTCCCGGGTGAGATGAATCCTGCAGGATGTTATTTGCTTTCCTAAGACAACGGGAACCGTACAGTTCTTCCAAAGATGGGAGAGGATGACCAATAATCCTTTGGGCTGTGGTTATGACCTTCTGGAGCACCTTCCTCTCCCTAGCTGTACAACTGGAGAACCAAGCACAAATACAGTATGTAAGAATGCTCTCTATGGAGCCTCGGTAGAAGGACACCAGCAGTCTCTCACTCAGATTGTTCTTCTTTAAAAGTCTGAGGAAATAAATTCTCTGCTGGGCCTTCTTCACCAGAGCAGTGGTATGTGCGCTCCAAGTCATGCCCTGATCGATAGTTACTCCCAAAAACCTGAATTCCGCCACCCTCTCCACCCGTTCCCCGTTGATATACAAGGGCTGAATGTCCGCCTTTTTTTTTCTGTAATCCAGAAAAGAAGAATGTAATGAAGAAGAAGAAGAAGAAGAAGAAGAAGAAGAAGAAGAAGAAGAAGAAGAAGAAGAAGTAGAAGAACTGAGAGTGTGAAGAAGGGTCTGCAAACTGTCTTTGAGATATTCTGGGACCCACAGAGCCCCCTCAAATAGTGCTGATCTGTGTACCATTTGAGCTTGAATCTTCCTGTCTCATAGAGAAAGAGGCTTGTGTGTCCCCCCAGAAAAAAGCACTGCTTATAGTATTGTTTTCCTTCTCCATCCTGAGTTTGCCTGGTATCACCTCTGTATGGTTCATGGCTGCAGTGCAGATAGGCCGTGACTCTGTTCTCACAGTGGCCAACCAAATGCCTGGGAAAGCCTGCAAGCAGGACTTGAACACAATAGCACTCTTCCCTCCCCTGCTTTCCAGAAACTGTTATTCAGATGCATACAGTACTGCCTCTGAAAAATGCTGGAACTCCTGCTTTTTATTTGTTTAGAAAAGATTATGAAGCCATGCAATACAGTGTAGAAATGTAAATCATCTGCCTCTCCCTTGACTGAGCAACACTCGTGTATCAGTAATTGCTCCTTGCCATAATTCCTGTTCCCTGTGAGTCAGAGTTAAGCAGTCAGGCATCTTCCAGTTTTTCACTGTGACCTGTCAAGCTGCCGATATCCTAAAGCTTATTAAGTCTTTGGGTTTACTGTAGCAATCTCAATTCTTTTCAGCTAAGGCAGCTGAAAGGTATTGTCTGTTAGGTTTAGGTGGTTACATTAATTTCATGAAATACTGTGTGCCACTGGCTTATAAGTCCACCAAATTCACGAATTTCTCTGATTACATTCTCTCCAGCACATTACATTATGAGTATGCATGACTTGTCCCAGCTTTACCAGATTACGTATCATCTTTTCAGATGCGTGCACTTAGGCTTGTACCCAATGTAGTGATAAGTAAGCACCCCAACAGTGCAACGATTTCTGCTTGTGCAACAGAACTTTCTCCTCTCTCCATCTCTCCATGTGCACCCCAAGCCCTCCCCAAATCTGCTCTGGTGGATTCAGGGGGAAACCCAGGCTAGATCTGGAGGTAGCACAGGGATGGGCATGGGGAAGGGAGAGGAAGGCCTCTTGTGCAAGTGGAAATATTTGCACTGATGGGGTGCTTAAATTGCTACACCAGATACAAGCCTAAATGTGCGAGGGTCTGAAGATGCATTGGGGTCATAGCTGTCCACATCCACGTTTCAAGCACTTACTTGTTCAGAGAAACGTCCAAACAGGGTTTAGTGTTGTCCTTACACTGAATTCATCCATGGGCCATGGATGAATTTTCCTTGATTTGACAAAGTATCCTATTTTGATTTTTACTAGAACCAGATCTGGGTGCAAAACACCAGCTCTGCATAGACAAATGCAAAGAATTAAGGAACAGGGTACAGGGATGCGGGTGGCGCTGTGGGTTAAACCACAGAGCCTAGGGCTTGCCGATCAGAAGGTCGGTGGTTCGAATCCCCGTGACGGGGTGAGCTCCTGTTGCTTGGTCCCTGCTCCTGCCAACCTAGCAGTTCAAAAGTACGCAGTGCAAGTACATAAATAGGTATCGCTCTGGCAGGAAGGTAAACGGCGTTTCCGTGTACTGCTCTGGTTCGCCAGAAGCGGCTTAGCCATGCTGAGCACATGACCCAGAAGCTGTACGCCGGCTCCCTCAGCCAGTAAAGCAAGATTAGTGCTGCAACCCCAGAGTCATTCGCAACTGGATCTAACGGTCAGGGGTCCCTTTACCTTTAAAGAACAGGGTGCCTCTGAGCACATGCTCAGGCCAGAAAATTGTGGTCGGTGTTGGAACGAAGCTCACAAGTCCTTCTGCACCAATATCCACTCCTGGTTCACCCCCCCCCATTCTTTTTCAGCAACTTCATTCTAATATTGAAAGTTTTGTGATTCTGCCTACAGGATTTTATCAGCAGACTTGGCTGGGTCCCTCTTTCTCACAGAGGCTGCTGGAACCAACTGCCCTGTGAGGGGGAGCAGCTGGACCATCTGCTGTAGGGTGGGTGGCATCAACTGTCCCCACCTGCCCCCCCCACCCCCCAAAGGCACCACCTTCCAGCTGCATCACAGCCACTCCCAGGAAGCTTGTGAGGCATGGGTATTTCTGGGAGGTTTGCCTGTTTTGAACTGGGACCAGCCTGTGACAGCTGGCCCATCTGTTCTGGCTGGGCGTGTGGTCTCACCTGGACCTCCCAGTACTTCCTGGAGGAACTGACCAGACATTGTCAGATCTTTGCTTAATATTCAGCTGCCCTGAAGCCACTTTTGAGAAGGTGCTTCATCTGTTGGAAGCTAACCAAATATGAAACTCAGAGCTAGTGCCCCAGTTTGCATTTTTCCTCCTTCCTGCCAACCCCTTTTCTTTTTGTGTCATGCCTTTTAGACTGTAAAGCCTGTGTGCAGGAATGGTTCTTGGGGAAACCCTTGGGGGTAATAAAAATGCTCAAAATGAATGAATTAATAAAGAGTATGTGTGCTGTGGGTGCCAGATAAGTAATTTGCACAGCACAACTCCAGTTGGCGGGACTGGGTTCAGAATGGGTGGTCTGATGGTGTTATGTTATCAGCTGGGATCAAAGGGAAGACAACAGAGCAGATCAATGCAAATCCATTGTTTCACCTTGGGATTTTGCTTTTGGAGATGAAAGGACCTGTCCCAATAAGAGGCAGAAAGGTCTTTCAAGCTGTTGAGCAGGTTGGTTGCAAAGTGACAGGTTGCAATCCTGTGCACACTTACAGGGGAGCAAACCCCACTGAACATCGACTAGGCTTGAGCTGTCAACTTCCAGACATTTAAAACAAGGGAGATACCTTCTTATTGAGAAGAACAGTAAGGAAGGGAAGAAGCAAAGAGCTGCCGGAGCTTCTGCTGTTATCTGCATATAGGCAAACCAGGAATGACCACAGTCCTCTCTGCCATCCTATAGGGCACCTTCTTAAGCTCCAGTGTGGTGTAGTGGTTAGAGTTCGAATCCCTACTTGGCCATGAAGTTCAGTAGGCGAATTTGGGCCAGTCATTACCTGAGATTCCTGCATTGCAGGGGGCTGGACTAGATGACCCCTGGGATCTAAGATAATGTGATCAACTCTCAGCCTAACCCACCTCACAATATTGTGAAACATGACAAGAGTTTGCATTACTGTATATGCTTTAAAAAAACATCAACTGGCTTTGGGAGCTACTTCAAGGAAGTAACTCATCCTGTGCTGAAGATTGTTTAACAGTAAGCAATAATTTGTCAAATTTAATACTAGTTTTCTACCCTCCCATTGCTCTACATCAGGGTGACTAACCTGTGGCTCTCTCTAGATCCCAGCTCCCATCAGCCCCAGTCAACACGGCCAATAGCTGAGGGTGATGGGCAACCTCTGTTCCCATTCCTGTTCTAAACGAACTCCTGGTCAAGCTTCAAGGGTGGCTAACTCAGGATGAGGTTGCAGAGAAAGGAAGCCTTGCATTTCAGAACAAAGGCATATTTAATTCTGCTTAAAAGTGTTGGCCTTAAGGAGTACACTATACACTACACAGAAATGCATGTGATGGGAGTTTTGGTGGTATGTGGCTGAGAAAAGCATCCTCAAAAACCTCTGTCCGTCTATTGCATTCTTCATAACATCCAAGCAGAAATATGGCATGGGGGCGATGAATTTGCTGTTATTCTATAATAGGTTATATATTATAATAGGTTATCTTCCCCTTTCAAAGGCAGTCATTCTGCTTCTGTTGTCACCAGAGATTTAAGATTGCATTACCTGAATAAATTTCCCTTTGGAGGAGAATGTCAAAATATACAGGCTTTTCCCTTGTACCTTTTTGCAGTGTATAGGAAGGAAAGGAAGTTAATTGTTTTAACAGTGCATACTGTACTCAACACTTACTGTCTCATAACAAATGTAACTGAGCTGCAGAAAAGACTTTACAACCTGAAAAAGGAGGCAATGCATAAATTTTTGTAAACCAAGAAAATCTTTAATAAAAATTTATTTTTAAAACAACACCACCACTGCAAGCTGTCCTGAAATCATATAGAAAGGTGGAAGGAAGAGAAACAAGTAATATTTTATTTATTTGGCTTATTATTACCCTACCCTTTTCACCCTAAGGTCCCAGGGCAGATTGCAACGATTTAGAATACGACATTAAAAACAGTTTAAAAGAAATTACAGTCACAAACTGGGGGGGGGTGGTATCCTAGAAACGTGTGAAGATTTGTAGAGACAAACGCCTCATTTCACAAGTCCCCTCCCCCGATTAAAAACGATCAGAACTCATCCATTGCCACCCAGATCTCGACTTTCTCAGCCAAGTGTCAAAGATGAAGGTATTAGAGAATCAGGATGCAAAGACTGAAGGAGGGGGTCGGATAAGGCGTTGGGGGGGGGGAATAACACCCGCCAGGGGGATCTGGCTATTTTCAAGCATCTGTGAAAAAGAATCACTTCGCTCACATTCCACGTCGAGGCTGATGTCTAATGAGAGAGCGGTCATTAATTGCCTGTTTCTTTCCTCATTGGAGGGCGAGGGAGAAGGTGGGGGAGTTGCATGAGAATAGGGACCAGAGGAAAAAAGGCAAGAGAAAGTTTGACAGCTTGTTGACATCAAAGACTCGCAAGATTAGGCAGCGGCAGGTATAAAAGTGCTGATCTCGAAGAAGGAGAGAGGAGCATTCGGAGCGAGCAGAAGCGGAGTAAGGGGCTTGAGCAGACACCCCCTCCGGGGAGAGGGAGAAGAAGAGGAGAGGGAAAGAAAGAAGCAAGAAGACTTCTCATTTAGACGAGGGTGAAAAAGAGAGGGAGAATGGGAGCGAGACAGTTCTGACCCGAGTCGACCCTCTTAAGTTCCCTGAATTCGGAGTCAATTCGGATCTGAGCACAGGAGAGAGCGAGAGAACGGGGATTTAGGTGACACAAGATAGAAAACAGAGTCTTCGGTTAGAAGTTTAGAGAGAGAGAGAAAGAGACTTCGGAGCCAATCTATGCAGCGATGCCTCCCCGGACCGCCTCGCTCTTGGAGCTGATGTCTTGGGCGCTCGCCCTCCTGGGCCCAGCCTGCTCGCAGACGGCCGAGCTGCTGCAGGAGGCCGCCGAGGGCCAGCTCCGGCCCGCCGCCTCCTCTCCGGCCGGCCTGGCCGCAGCCCCGGCCCGCCCTCGCCCGCAGCCCCCGGCGCTCCGCTCCCCGGTGTACATGCTGCAGCTGTACCGGGCCCTCGTCGTGGGCAGCCCCCCGAGCCAGCCCAGCGCAGAAGCCTCCGCCTGGAGAGAATCCGACACCATCCTCAGCCTGGGGGCGCGACGTAAGTCCTGCTCCTTGCCTCGGTTGACCCCTTTCCGTCCCGTCCCCCCCACAAAAAGCCTCCCCTCACCCCTTTCCATTTTGAGTTACTTCCATTCTGATTTCCTGCCCAGGGTTTGTAAGGACATCCTTGATGGATGGATGGGTGCTTATCAGCATCCCTGGGTGGTGGTCCTTCTGGCCTTAAGTCAACCCGCCTCCCGCCTCTCCTTCCCGGGCCTCTTTTTTGTGGATTGTGGCCCCAGACGTCTGCAACGGAGGGAGCCCCCCAAGAGAGAGATGCAATCCACATCCCTTTTCCCTTAGTACTAAGGACATCTGGCAGGAACCAGATGGGAAAGCGGGGAGGGGGCAGAAGCGAGGCTGGGGGTCCGCATGATGCCCAGGAAGGGTGCAGCTAGAGGGTGCCATGCTCCAAAAGCTGCCTTACACTCGGGGAGGAGTGAGGCACCTGGAAATGGCCAGCGGAGGAGAAAGCGGCGCCTCAACTTTCCCTGGAAGGGTACTGGGAGATGCTATTGTCTGAGCTGCGTTCAAAGAAAGGGAAAACAGGTGGAGAGAGACGGGTGGGGGTGGGAGAACAGATTTCTGTGTACAGACTTGACTGTTCTCCCATTATGGCTGTGCGTGTTCTGTCTGAACCAGCTGCACACTTTGCTGTGTCCGTGGATGGTTATGGGGTTCAGGAACTCTAGAATACATTTGTACACCATGGCTGGTTTTTATTCTAGGGATTAGAAACACCACTTATTTATACTGTACCCACGTAGGAGGACCATAGGAAGCTGCCTCTTATCAGGTCAAACTGTGCATTCAGCCCAATATCAACCCTCACCTCCCCCCTCAACCCCTGGAGCATGTTTGCAAATGATGTGCAACAGTCATGGCCTCTGCCGTGGTCAATTTGTCTTCCTTTTCTTGCTTTTCCATTTCAGCTTTCTGAGTTGGAATACAATTTTATACAGTCAATACCAACTGTTTCCCCTCGGTCTTTTGTTAGCACTTCAAAAGCAGAAAGGTATTTTTTAAATGTCCTAATTAGTTATCAACACTTTCAAAGAGGGGGCATCAAAGGGTCTATGGGTGTGAGGAGTACAATGAAGTTTAATGAGCTACGTGCCTTTAGCCTTTGAACTTCCATAACCCAATCAACCACTTAACTAGCTGATGCAATGAGTTAATAGCTGTCTTCAAGACAGCCGGGCCAGGGGAAGATAAAATGGACAGCTGGAGCTTGTGCAGCTAATCTGGAAGTGATGTTGTTAGGGACACGCATTAAGGAGAGCAAGGATTCTAAGATACCCATATCATAGAATCATAGAATCATAGAGTTGGAAGAGACCACAAGGGCCATCGAGTCCAACCCCCTGCCAAGCAGGAAACACCATCAGAGCACTCCTGACATATGGTTGTCAAGCCTCTGCTTAAAGACCTCCAAAGAAGGAGACTCCACCACACTCCTTGGCAGCAAATTCCACTGTGGAACAGCTCTTACTGTCAGGAAGTTCTTCCTAATGTTTAGGTGGAATCTTCTTTCTTGTAGTTTGGATCCATTGCTCCGTGTCCGCTTCTCTGGAGCAGCAGAAAACAACCTTTCTCCCTCCTCTATGTGACATCCTTTTATATATTTGAACATGGCTATCATATCACCCCTTAACCTCCTCTTCTCCAGGCTAAACATGTCCAGTTGGTCAGTGTCCTTCTTGAACTGTGGTGCCCAGAACTGGACACAGTACTCCATATCTTAGAAATGGAGAATTATAATACTCAGCTGTTGTATATGCAGATGAGCCTCAGGGTCCCTTCCAACTCTTCAATTTTCTTATTCTATATACCACTCCAGTTTTCGACAACCATTCATATAAGCTGCCCTGTAATACTTACAACAACCCTGTGAGGGAGGCCAGTATTTTCCCCATATTGCAGGTGGGGGGGGGGAGGTTCCTGGGGATAGATGTGGCTTCGTTAAGGCAAGGAAATTACTAATTCATATCCCTCTTTCTTTGCCACCATAAAAACCAGCTCCATGGTACCTGGCAGTAAAGGCTAGATTTTTCTTCAAAAAATTGAGTTCACTTAGCACCCATTGATATTAATGGAATTCAGATCATTTCCTGTGCATCTAAGCTTCATTTATGTGTCTGTTAATTTTCTATGGCCTTTCTTTCTCAGCAAGAAAGGGAAGTATTTTTTATTACTAATTTTTACTAATTAGTACATTAATATTCTGCCTTCCCTCCAAGGAACTCAACGTTTCATCACCCCATTATATCCTCACATCAATGTGGTAGGTTAGGCTGAGAGATAGTAACTGGCCCAAAGTCACCCAGTGCACTTCCTGCCTGAGTGGGGATTTGAAGCCTAATATCCCAGATTGTAGTCTGACCCTAAGTGCTACACCATGCTGGCTCATATCCTATTCTTCTAGATATGTTCCTGGCTGCTCCTGGAAAACCCCTCCTCCCAGTTTGAGAACAGCTCAGTCACTGCTACGCTCAACAATATACCAAGAATTACAGGTCCATTTCAAATTTACCATTGTAAGAACAAAGGTTATTTGATTTGTCTATCTAGCTTATTGTTATCTACTTTGACTGGTAGCAGCTTTCTAGGGAGAGGATCATTTCTGATCACCTGCTGCATAATTCTTCTATCTGGAGATGCCAAGGACTGAACCATATGCCAAAACACATGCTTAACCAATGTGCTATAGTCCCCCTCAGTTCTCTTGGACCCGTTTCTCACTTGTTTGTGCTGTTTATTTTCTTTAATAATAATATGACAACCCCCCCCCTTTTTAAAGAAAAAGCTGAAAGACTCCAGGGAAAAGTGGGTGGGTAGATTAGTGGCATGAGAGGTGCTAGCCAATCAGTACTGCACACAGGCAACTTCAGTTGCAACAGACAGAAGTTCAGAGGAAATTTTTTGAGTGAAGAAAATGCTCTTGCAATGGGGGGCCCAGTTCTATCCTGGCCTTCAGAGTTGCTGTTTTATTTTTCCACCCCATGTCCTCTTGTCCTGCCCTCTCCCCAAGACTCCTTTTGAGGGTCTTAGAGTTAAGAACCTTTAATATTTAATGGTCTTCCTTTGTTCCATTCATCCCAACCAGTGCCATTCTTCTGCCTTCCAGATTATTTCCAGTTTGAGGACCACTGGGACTTCTCCTTTGACTTGACCTCCATTTCCAGCAGCTCTGAGGTGAGGCTGGCAGAGTTCCGGGTCTGCTTGATGCCTTTCCCCCAGTACAGGAGTGTCACTTTGAACATCTACCACAGCCATGAGCGCACCTGTCATGGGAACCAGACCTGCACAGACAAGATCTTCCTTGGTTCTTTCATTAGCAGGAACTCCAGCCACTCCTCCTGGAAAGTCTTCAATGCCACCAACATACTCCGCTTCTGGCTCCACCAAGGGGTATCATTTGGCATGGGTGCTCCAGATGATCAGGAGCGGCACTGGGTGGAGGAGAACCTATCTCAGGACGATGACGGAAGATCAGCTGGTGGGTTCCAGGGAAAATGTGGGTGCAATGACGATCAACAGGCCCACGTATTGACCCATAGCATGACTGACAGAGTCCTACTGGTTATCTTCTCCAAAGATAAGGAACTGGTGGAGCCCTCTCAGGGCCCAAGTCTCATCAGGACGGTGGAGATGTCCAAGTACATCATGATGGACAACACTTTCAAGGAGACGGGGGGTCGTCGGCACCGGCGGAACAGGAAGCAGAAGCAAAGGATTAAAGCGGCTAATATTTCCACCGCCAACTTTGGCAAAGAAGGGAGATCTCTGTGCAGGAGGGTAGATATGATTGTGGACTTTGAGCAGACTGGCTTCGGAAGTTGGATTGTTCACCCCAAGAAATACAATGCCTACCGGTGTGAGGGAGAGTGCCCGTTGCCTGTTGATGAGACCTTCAAGCCAACAAATCATGCATATATTCAGGTTTGTCTTTATGTTTGCATTTTAGGTGTCTTGGGAACTAGAAAATGGGTCCAATGCAGTATATCCAATTGCACAGTCCAGTCTTATATGCTTTATAAACAGCACATTAAGAACAGTGGAAAGTGAAGCCCATATCTACACACCTGCAAAAACCTTTCTTTTTCTCCTATCCATTAGTTGCTTGTATGCTCAGCTCATAGTTCCGTATAGAACACTGTATTAACTAACATTGGGGATCATTTATGTATAGATACGGAATAATAATAGTAATAATAATAATAATAATAATAATAATAATAATAATAATAATAATTTTATTTGTATCCTGGGCTCAGAGCGGCTAACATCATATAAATAAGACAATATGCACGATACAAGTGATCACTCAATTAAGATACATCCCACAATTAAAACTGGACAAGTAGCAATCTTCAGGTTAAAATTGGAAGCGGTTAATACTCACCAGGACCAACTGTTTCCACTGATATTATAAGGACCTGTGAGCGGGCTGGGAACCTCCTTCGTGCTTGTTCTTATACAAAGAGAAAATGAGTCAGGCTGAACCCTGACCAAAGGCTTGGCAGAACAGCTCCGTCTTACAGGCCCTGAGGAAAGATGTTAAATCTCGCAGGGCCTTGGTCTCTTGTGAGAGAGCTTTCCACCAGGCCGGGGCCACGGCTGAAAAGGCCCTGGCTCTAGTCAAGGCCAGTCTGATCTCCCTGGGGCCCGGAATCTTCAGGGTGTTATTTGCAAACTGTAAGGCCCTCTGTGCGATATACCAGGAGAGGGGATCCCGTAGGTATGAGGGTCCTAGGCCGTATAGGGCTTTAAATGAAGAGAAAGAAAATGGCACGAGGAGGTGCAGGAAAGGCTGGGTTGTCAAAAACTGAGATTCAGCAAATGCTCCTTTTACACATTTGCATAGGAAGCTGCTCTATACAGAGTCAGGCCATTGATCCATGTAGCTCAGCATTACTGGCACTAACTGGCAGTGATATAATTTAAAAAGATCATAAGGACAGCTAAGGCAACAGGTAGCATCAGTGCTTTTTTCTGGCGGGATTCAGGGGTACGCATACCCCTAAACATTTTGTGAATCTAAGTTTGGCCTCATTGAGGGGCAGCATTTCAATATGAGTAGGATAATGAGAGTACAGTCATACCTCGGGTTGAAGTAGCTTCAAGTTAAGTATTTTCGGGTTGCGCTCTGTGGCGACCCGGAAGTAATTGAGCGCGTTACTTCCGGGTTTTGCCGCTCACACATGCTCAAAATGACGTCATGTGCAGAAGCGGCGAAACACAACCTGCGCATGTGCAGATGCGCAGTCGCGTGTTACGTTTACTTCAGGAAGCGAACAGGGCTCCGGAACAGATCCCGTTCATCTCCAGAGGTACCACTGTACCCCTAAAGATTTTTTTTTTAAGAAAAAAAGCAGTGGGTAGCATGATTTTCAAAAGCCATCTGTTACTAATCTGCAGGGCTGAGGGGACATGACATGTCCCACCCTAGGGCTACCTCCAGCGGGACCATAAGAAGGAGGTCTTATCCCACCAAGAATTTCAGCGAGTGACATAGCACTGGGCTGCGATTGTGTCCTAAGGCTTTGACTGTTTCTCTCCCCACCCCATCAGGAAATGTCAGTCCTGTTTTATTCCCCTACTGGCTTTTTGGCATGAATTGTTAACATTGTTGTTGTTGTTGTTTAGTCGTGCCTGACTCTTCGTCACCCCATGGACCAGAGCATGCCAGGCACTTCTGTCTTCCACTGCCTCCCGCAGTTTAGTCAAACTCATGCTGGTAGCTTCGAGTACACTGCCCAACCATCTCGTCCTCTGTTGTCCCCTTCTCCTTGTGCCCTCAATCTTTCCCAACATCAGGGTCTTTTCCAGGGAGTCTTCTCTTCTCATGAGGAGGCCAAAGTATTGGAGCCTCAGCTTCACGATCTGTCCTTCCAGTGAGCACTCAGGCCTGATTTCCTGTTAATGTGTTAACATGTTAGTTAATTGCTGTCTTTCTCCAGCTCTCTCTAGAATTTAAGGCTTTGGTCCTAAATACTGTACATTTACCTAAGTTCAGGCTGTCGGAACTGGGGATGAAAAGCCAGCTGGCTCAGTCCCAGCTGGAGCGTCTCTCCTCTCAGCTGCTGCGGAGATCCATCAACCTCTGCTCCTCCGACATGCGTCAGTGACTCAAGCTGCAGTGCATACTTGAGCACCCATTACTCAGCAGTGTAAACTATGCAACAGAGAGGCTTGAGGCGTACATACAATACTAAGGCTACACGTTTATTATACATAAATCAGGACAAAGAAAACATGGCTTCTCCCCTTGTCATCTTCTCAGAGAGAGACTAAAAACAAAAGCAATACAGAGAGGAAGTTCCGCTCAGGCCAGCAACCTGTGCTGGAATGTAAACAGACATGTGACATGTAACAATCCCACATATCTGCAGCAAAAGGTGGAATAGAATTCTCAACACAGGCTCCACTGAACTCACTGGGGCTAACTTCTGCATAGATGTGGTACGGGATTGCACTGCACATCTCTGCCCCCAAGGCTATCTGCCCCCAAAGGTGCCTTTTAGAGAGAAGACAAAAGCATCTCTGGGAGCACATATAGCAGTGGGGGGGGGGATTATTTGGGTGGGGAAATAGTGTGGGGGTGTTGATCAGGACCTATCAATGCCATATGTAGCTCGACCCAAGAAGTCCACCCACAACAGACACCTTCCTTACATGAAGAGCTTCCTTGATTTACCCTTTGAGCTCTCTCAGCAGCCTGCTATGCTCACAGCTAAAGTGTGTGGGGTTTGGAACACCTTCACTTTGGGCGACTGCCAGTTCTTGCAGGTTGAGGAAGCTGTGGTCCTCCAGATGGTGCTGGACTACAGCTCCCTTCACCCCTCACTGTTGGCTGTGCTGGCAGGGGATGATGGGAGTTGGAGTCCCAACTTCTAGAAGGTCACAAATTGGTTTGAACAGACTCCACCCCCCCCCCCCCTGCACAATTCTATAAAGAGGTTCTCACTGTTGAGGAAGAAATTTCACTGGCTTTTTAAAAGCCTTGGATTTTTAATTTTTAAGCAACAACATTCCGAGTGGGGGCAAATTAATGCTCCTTGTGAGCTGGTGCATTCCTTGGCCCTGCAATCCCCAAAAATGGAGGTGTTTTTATCCTGTTTTGACAGTGAACAAGGCACAGGAATGCCCTAGGCAGGCATGGCCACATCACCAGAGAGAGCTCCAAGTTAGCAGCTTGCTCCGATAAGCTCTGGAGCTCTGCCAAGGCTTTATATCCCTCTTGGGGCAGAGTAGCACTTCTTGGCTCCTTCCTGAAGTATGGAGAGCCTTGAAGAGGAAGTCCTCCAGCCCTGTCAGCAATCAGCAAGTTTCCTCTGGGTTCCTTCTTTGCTCTTGGGTTTCCTTGATGTAGAAGAGGCTGGTCCCTCAAAAGAAACTAGCCCAGGGGGTGTTGTCTCTGGGGTTCCCAGTCTGGGGGCCTGTCACAAGCCCTCAATATCAGGGGCCTGGGGCAAATCCCTTCCATAGTTTATGTCACTGGTGTTTCTGATTGGGCTGGCCACTCCTCCTCTTAGTCAAATTCCAGACTCTTTTATGTATTTGGGATGGGGTAGGGTACGTTGTCACAAAATATTTGCACCAGATTCTGCCGGGTCATAATTGGACATGATGGGACTGCACTGCTTACCTGACTGCCCTCCAGCCGAGTTGCTCCTACGTTCTGGATTGAGAGAGGTGAGGCAGTGAGGTCAGCGCAGTGCAAACACATCATCAGAGCCAATGTGGTGCTCCAATCTGCATTTGCACTGCAGTGACCTCACCACCTCACTTGCCCCTCTCTGTCGTAGTATGAAGCAGCTAGGGAGGCCAGTGTAGCCCCACTGCGCCCTGCCCTACTGCCCTTAACTACACTGTGCCAGTTCCTGGATATGATGTTTTCCTCTTCCTTCTTTCCCTTTCAGAGCTTGCTGAAGTTATACCAACCCAACCGGGTGCCTTGCCCATCTTGTGCCCCTGTCAAAATGAGCCCGCTGTCTATGATGTACTACGAGAAAGGGAAAGTGAGGGTCCGTCACCATGACGACATGATCATCGAGGAATGTGGCTGCAACTGATGCACATGAGTCTTAGCTACTTGGTGGATGGGGCCTCCTCCAGATACCAGCTCCCTAAAACCCAAAGCGCCTTCCCCTCTTGCAGCAGAAGCCCAAGAAGCGTTGACCTTAAATGGAGGAAAAAGTAGACTCCTCGCCAACTTGGAGATCAAGCTGTTTCTCTAGGGTGTTGTCTATACAATCCTTATCAAAATGAGGGAATGGAATTGGCAGAGGATTATGATAGGGGTTATGCTTTTCTTAGGGAACTTAGTCTGCTCCCAGAAGCAGACGGTCCTCACAGAAATAACCCCTCTCCCACCCCCGGGGTTGGTTCCAGGTTTTTGGGGTCCCTTGGCAAAGTAATATCAGCTGAGCCCCTTTCTGTGTCAAGTGGCCTCCCTGGTGGGCTTGTCTGGTGGCTTGAAGGCCTTGATGCTAGCCATCTTTTTAATTTCCCACAATGCCCCTGATGTAATGTTAGGGAATTGTGGGAAATTAACATAGAGCCAGCTGCCCAGTGCAGAAGTTGGTTTAAAGGGGGCTCCAGAGTAGGCATCAGTGGTGGTCCATGCTGGCTCAAACATCTGTAGCTCTTTACAAAAGTCCCACCTTTGAGAGATTATTTATAAATAGAGCCCCTATATGCAAAACACAGGTCTAACAATATTTTCTATGATCGGTGGGATGATAGGCACATGCTGAACCACTAGTGAAGACAGTTGTTTTGTACACGTCTGTAAAGAGCCTCTTGACTGGTTTTGAGAAAGTAGTGATATATTCCTTAAAAGGTATACAGCCCTCCTTTCAAGGTATGAGAGGCCCCATCTGCACTATTATGTTTAAAGCACTATTACACTACTTCAAACAGCCATGGCTCCCCCCAAAGAATCCTGGGAGCGGTAGCTTGCAAAGGGTTCTGAGAGTTGTTTGGAGACCATAATTTCTCTCACAGAGCTACAATACCCAGAGTTCCCTGGGAAGTGGAATTGATTGTTAAACCATTCTGTCATGTAGGTCAATTCAATGTGCATTTATTTGGAAGAAAATTCCTCTGGGTTCAGTGAGGCTTACTCCCAAGTAAATGTGCATTAAAGAATCCACAGTTTGTCATACTGCTGACCTCCAGCTTCTTTTTAGTATTAAAGAAAATAACTTCCATTCTTTCAAACTTTGTCTGTCTTGTGTGATTATTCTGTGAAGTTTTAACAGTTTAAACGAGATCATAAACAAATTTCTGAGTTAACGTTTTGTAATACAGATTCCCTCCGCCCCCTACAATGTAACTGGGATTTAGATGCGTAATTTCAGCGTAGATCATCTGAACTAAAATCATAGGGTACAAAGGGAAGTGTTGTATAGCAGGTCCGACCATTTGGCTATATTGACTGGCAGTCAGCAGCTCTCTGAGGACCACCTTCCCTATCAGCTACTTTGCTCAACCCACTGAGAACTATGGCCCTCCCCATCACGAGACGTAACTGAACAGTCAATCTGCTGTGGTGGCCATGCCAATGCGGAAGGAGTGACCTGAGAATTCCCTTGGATCGCCGCCACAGGCCCCCTATAGCCTTATGGAGGACTGGGAACTTGTCTGGTGTCTGCACTGCCTCATGTGCCAGTTAGTGGAAATGCTCCATCACCGCTTGATTGTCCGGCAGAAACAAACCCTGGAATTTCTGAAATGATTTTCCCAGACGCAAAGGGCAACGGCTTTTGGTTGGGGGGAGCGGCGCGTTCTAGAAACAGGCGAACCAAAACAGGAAAGTGGCAACGGTTGCAAAATCCAGCCTCAATGTATTTTTCTGCCTCCCTGTTGGGATAAGTTTCCAACAGGGACAACATGGCTGGAAGAGAAACAGGGGAAGGGGCTAGGGAGGAAAAGGGGGTTACTTCTGCGCAGTGCCTCTTGAGTGCTGGGCTTTTTTTATTGAAAAGGGGGGGGGAGGTGCCAGTAATCACCATGGAGATGTTATAATAAGTGCCACATGGCTTAGTCATGCTGGCCACATGACCCAGAAAAACTATCTGTGGGCAAATGTCTGCTCCCTTGGCCTATAGAGCGAGATGAGCTCCGCAACCCCAGAGTCGGTCGCGACTGGACTTAACTGTCAGGGGTCCTTTACCTTTAACTTTTTATGTAACAACCAAATATCCTGGATGATATGGTTGTCATCAATGCTTCAAATAAAGGCAATAAAGAGATGAAAGGAGGATTTCTGTGTTTTGTTTTCCGCCTGTTTTTGCATCTCTGTTGCAATACCTAGATTGTGCCCCATACTTTCTATGGCCCAAAATTCAGCAGAAAACAAAATTTTACATATGAAACGATCAATGCAATTGCCCTTGCATTCTGAGATCAGAACATTTCAGCATAGCTAAATATGCACAGCTGCCTTTAATTTACAATCATTATCATGTTTTCTCAGTTTTGGGCTACAATTTGCCAGGGAGATCTTGCTCCAGTCCTATTCAGTTGGGCTTTTCTTTGTTCTGTTGTCAAAATTGGGTCTTTCATTTCAAGTTAGAGCACCAAGGGAAGGAAATAAAAACCAGGGCTTACAGAACACGGTGTATGGTTTTATGTTTTTACATTGTTGTAAATATATTTTTTATAAATAAATAAGTCATAAAGGCCGAGGGGGGTGTGGATATGGAAAGGGGTGAGGTTTGTAATTAGACTGGACAAATGGCTCCTGCAACAAAATGTTGCAGCGTGGAGTGCTCCTCTGCCAGCCAGCCAGCCAGCCTCCCATTCCCTCTTCCATAATCGTCCATTCTATTCCACCTGCCTAGTTTTCCACGTCTGAGGATGCTGGGGGATTAAATCTGGGAGCTTCTGCAGGCAAGGCAGTGGATAAATGTTCTTTCTCCCTTTCCGTGCTAAAACTTGTGGACATCCAGTGAATCTGAATGTTGGTAAGATTCAAGGTGGCTAAAAGAAGGCACTTCTTCATGCAGCACCTAGTAGCTACCAATTTTAAAAAGATTGAACAAATTCATGGAAGAGAGGGGTGTCTGCTGGAAAGCAGAAGACGGGAGAGGGCTCTTGCCCTCGAATGCTGCTTCAGGGTTTCCACAGGCACCTGGCTGGCTGCTGTGAGAAGGCAGACCTTGGCGCCTCAAATTTCAGTGGTGCCCTGTGCCCTGGAGTAACCCCTCCCCCAAAAAATATTCTATTGGATGCCATAGTTGTGGTCCCTGCTGAGGTGCCCTAGAAGCTCTGTCCCTGATGCAACCAAACCAGTCGCACTCCCCTAGGAGTTGTAAAGACTGCAGAGAGAATAGTTGGGTGCACTCTTCCCACCTTGGATCAAATCTCTGCTTCCAGGTGCCATAAGAAAACTGCAGAGATAGTGCAGGATAGTGCACACTCCAGAAATGATCTTTCAGCTTCTGCCTTCTGGAAGAAGGTCCAGAGTTATAAAGACTAGGACTAGCCGCCTGAGAAACAGTTTCTGTCCAAATGCGATTTTGGTTTTAAACGCGGTGTAAGGGGTCTCTAGGGTGGCGCTGTGGGTTAAACCACAGAGCCTAGGACTTGCCGATCAGAAGGTTGGCGGTTCGAATCCCCACAACAGGGTGAGCTCCCATTGCTTGGTCCCTGCTCCTGCCAACCTAGCACTTCGAAAGCACGTCAAAGTGCAAGTAGATAAATAGGAACCGCTCTGGCGGGAAGGTAAATGGCGTTTCCGTGCACTGCTCTGGTTCGCCAGAAGTGACTTAGTCATGCTGGCCACATGACCTAGAAGCTGTACGCCAGTTCCCTCGGCCAATAAAGCGAGATGAGCGCTGCAACCCCAGAGCTGGCCACGACTGGACCTAATGGTCAGGGATCCCTTTACCTTTAAGGAGTCTCTATGGGAGTATAGTGTATTTTAAAATGGGGTATCAGAGTTTTTAGGGGGCTAACCAGGTTAGGATAGCTGGGATAGCAGGCTTGTTGGTTTTTGAATGTCTTATGTAGATTTTTTCAATTTCGTTGTTCTGTATGGGACAAGGACAATAAAGATTATCGTATCGTATTGTAGATCTGCTGTGAGAAAAGGGTGCTTGGCTAGATGGACCATTGGCCTGATCCAGCAGGCTCTTCTTACATCCTTATGTTTATCCAGGCACCCCTCCAAACCTGCAAAACGTAGGGCAGGGATTTACCAGGGGCAGTAATAAAAGAAAAAGAAAACAAACAAAACAAACAAACAAACAAACCAATTCTGGGCAAAAGGGGGAAACTGCAGTTTATGATCTCTTATTTTCAAGCCAAGCCTAATCCTGCTCCCTCTCCTCAAGGCTAAATTCCATCACCCCCCCTTTCAGGATACCATGCAGAAGACTGTGCTATGGGTCATGCCCTTTGATCTTAAGTCTGGGGTCTTTTGTGTAGTGGATGTTTGTGTAACTGGGAAGAAGCTGTTTCCCCAGGGAGTCTTGTCATGCTGGAAAGTGAGGATCCAGACACCTGAGGGAGGCTGAGCTCTGCAGCAAGGGGGAAAGATCATTCATGCTCATAAACAGCTAATCATCGCCAACCAACACTCCCCCCCCCAGACGAAAGTTGAGTTAAGGGTCACTTCCCATGAGAGAGCCAGTCCAGGAAGGCCATTTGAAATATGCTTGCACCCTTGAGTTGTTCAAGCCATGACTGTACTAATCTGCCTGGTCCTGAGCATGTTTTAAAGAGGACATTGACAAACCGGGACAGAAGAGGACAGCCAAGATGGCAGGTGGTCTGGGATTCAAGCCCTGAGGAGACAGTTGGAAGAATTGGGTCAGATTATTTTTTTTAAGCTGGTTTTCCAGTTGTACAGATTCCCCATCAGACACCTAAAAAAACAAAAACAAAGTGTGCTTTGCCCCTTGTTTACCCCTTGCCTAAAATCAGTAGCAGCTTCTCCCTAGTAGTCAGTAGTTTGTAATGACTGTACAGTGATGGTTCATTGATGAACCTTCCTTGGTTCAGTAACCAGCAGTACTCAAAAGGAGTACTCAGAGAGTATACTGAGAGTACATTGGGAGCCAGAGTGGTGTAGTGGTTAGAGCAGGGGTTGGCAAGTTTCATTCCAGTGCAGATCCCTCCGTGGGCCAGATTGCACGTGCGCATGAGCAGGCACCCCCACAATTTCCGGTGTCTGCGCAGATGTGATTTATGGCGCCACAGAAGCCGCACTGCCGCCGGTTTAGCGAAGCGTGCGGGGACTCACTGAGTGGGCAGCTCGGTAAAATGACCCCTGTGGGCGGGCCCATGGGCCTTAGGTTGCCTGCTCCTGGGTTAGAGTGTCGGACTAAGTCCTGGGAAGATGAGGGTTCAAATTCCCACTCAGCCATGAAGCTCACTTTGGGCTATTCATTGCCTCTCAGCCTTAGGCCAACTACCTTTCAGAGTCATTGTGGGAATTATATGAGGAGCGGGGGGGGGGGGTAAGACCATGTGTGCCCCCTTGAACTCCTTGGGAGAACAAGGTGGGATAAAGGAAACAAAATGAATAAATGAATAATACTGTAATGGTATTTGCAAAGATGTGACGAAACTTTACCTGCCCTAAGTTAAAGGTGATGAGGAAGGGGCTAACTGATCCCCCAAGATCCCTTAAAATTCTGTGATTAGCCATATCCACTCCACACAGTTTAAGCACTGTTCTACTACTTTAAACAGTCATGCCTCTCCCCTGCAAGAATCCTGGGAACTGTAGTTTGTCAAGGGTGCTGAGACTTGTTGGGAAACCCTTATTCCTCTCACAGAGTTACAGTTCTCAAACTGATTTTAGCTTCCTATGTTGCTTTCATGCCTGATCATTGACTGTTCTGGCTGGGGCTGAGGGGAGTTGGCATCCAATGTTTTCTAGAGCAGGCTTGTCCAGCTCCCAAGAGACTGCGATCT